TAAATGAATTTTTTAAATTATAAGAAAAATAGTGAAAAATTATATTTATGATATTTTGAATTGACTTCACATCTTTTAATTTTCTCTCATTGAAAAAAATATTCTAAAAGGAAATTTTTCTTTCTTTTCTTTCAGAAAGCTATGGCAGCTCAACAACAAAGACAAACAGTCACTTCAACCGGGATCTTCAACCATGAGAAACATATTTCTTCAGCAAGTTCCCAATCAAGCATCACAATTGCATCCAAAGGTGTCACTTCGAAATCATCAATGATCACCGCAGCAAATGCAGTAAATCAATTGATGAACGGCATGAGGCCAGCCGAGGATGAACTTCTTTCGCTACCTCTGGACGATCTAGATCTTTTATGTTCGAAATCAAATTCCCAAGACGTTGATCGAGCTATCACCAAGTATTCCAATTTCTTGGACAATTTTGTAGAACGTTTGAAGGCTAACGATTGTAAAAATGACAAAGCTCCTTTGTTGCTAAACAGAGTGAACGAAATAATTAGAAAAGCATGGGCAGTGCCTACATATGGCCACGAATTAGGTTACACTTTATGCAATACTCTCAGAACAAGAGGTGGTCTTGACCTATTAATGTCGAATTGCGTGGCTAGCGATCAGGAGTTACAGTTCTCCTCAGCTAGATTGCTAGAGCAATGTCTCACCACAGAGAACAGGGCTCATGTAGTAGAACATGGTCTAGAAAAAGTGGTAAACGTCGCCTGCGTATGTACAAAGAATGCCAACTCAGTGGATCATTCTAGAGTGGGTACTGGAATTCTGGAACATTTGTTCAAGCACAGTGAAGGGACCTGTAGCGATGTAATTAGACTAGGTGGTTTAGATGCTGTTCTATTCGAATGCAGAAAAAATGACATTGAGACATTAAGACATTGTGCAGGTGCTCTAGCCAATCTTTCTCTCTATGGAGGTGCAGAAAATCAAGAAGCTATGATCAAGAGAAAAGTACCCATGTGGTTATTCCCTCTGGCTTTCCACAATGATGATAATATCAAATATTATGCCTGTCTAGCAATCGCTGTACTAGTAGCTAATAAAGAGATAGAAGCTGCCGTATTAAAATCTGGTACTTTGGACTTAGTCGAGCCATTCGTCACCTCGCATAATCCTTATGAGTTTGCTAAATCAAACTTGGCGCACGCACATGGCCAAAGCAAAAATTGGTTAGAAAGACTTGTACCAGTATTAAGCTCGAAGAGAGAAGAAGCTAGAAATCTGGCGGCTTTTCATTTCTGCATGGAAGCAGGAATTAAAAAACAACAGGGCAAGACTGAAATCTTCCGTGCAATAGGAGCTATCGAGCCGTTAAAAAAAGTAGCTAGTTGTCCTAATGCGATTGCGTCCAAATACGCGGCGCAGGCATTGCGTTTAATTGGAGAAGAGATTCCCCATAAACTCAGCCAACAGGTACCTCTCTGGTCTACAGAGGACGTCCGAGAATGGGTGAAGCAGATTGGATTCGCAGAATGTGCTCAAAATTTTGTAGAAAGCAGAGTTGATGGTGATTTATTGCTGCAGCTAACGGAAGAGAATCTCAAAGAAGATATTGGTTTGGCAAATGGTATCAGGCGAAAACGATTCACTAGAGAATTGCAGAATTTGAAGAAGATGGCTGATTATAGCAGTAGAGACACAGGGAATTTAAATAGTTTCTTACAATCTATTGGTCAGGAATTTTCAATCTACACATATAGTATGCTGAATGCTGGTGTTGATAAAGATTCTATAAGAAATTTGTCTGAAGACCAACTATTGAGTGAATGTGGCATTACAAACAGTATTCATCGATTGAGGATATTGGATGCCATTAAGAATATGCAACACAATCAACTGGGTTCATCGGAAGACGAATCGCCAGACAAATCCTTAGATGTATTTGTTAGTTATAGAAGATCAAATGGATCTCAATTGGCCAGTTTATTAAAAGTCCATTTACAATTGCGTGGTTTCTCTGTATTCATCGATGTTGAAAGACTAGAGGCTGGCAAGTTCGATAACAATCTATTGCAAAGTATCAGACAAGCAAAACACTTCCTCCTTGTGCTAACGCCCAAGGCTTTGGAAAGGTGTATACAAGATAACGAATGCAAAGACTGGGTTCATAGGGTAAATTATTGATTACTTTTGTGAAATAAAGAAATTATTAATATTAACAGAAATAATTTATATAGAATTGGTATTGTTTATAGGAAATTGTAGCAGCTCTACAATCGCAATGTAATATAATTCCCATCATAGATAATTTTCAATGGCCAGAGCCTGAAGAACTTCCTGAAGATATGCGAGCAGTTTGTCACTTTAATGGTGTACGATGGATTCACGATTATCAAGACGCTTGCGTAGACAAGCTTGAAAGGTAACCATACAAATTTATAATAATTCATAAAAAATTTAAGAAAAATACCTAATTTCTTTAATATTATATATAATATTAACAATTACATATAAAAGATAAATTTAAAATAAAATTTTTTTAATTTTCAGGTTTATGCGAGGAGAAATACCAGTCAGATCAGATATTCCAAGAAGCATTGCACCTAAAGATGTGACACAACCAAATACACCGGGTAATACGAACATTCGACAACCACCAAACTATCAACGTATGCACAGCAATGAAAGCAGAGGTAGTGACAAAGATTCAACAGGAGGACGAGATTGACTAGAGGGCCCGCCCACAGCTATATCGAATAGGTATTTATCATTTTTAAGTAATGTATTAAGTAATACATTTTTAAATAAAATTCAATTTAATACATTTTAGTCTTACTAAATTTTAGATTATAATAATTCTCTATAATGTATTTTTTTTTTTATTTCTATACAGCCAGGATTAACACTCGCGCTTTAGACAATCAATTACGTCTAGGTCAGTCGGAAGAAATTTAATTTTATATTTATGTTTCAATTAGTGTCTTATCAAATTGCTCTTTATGTTATTTGCTTATTTGATGTCATTATTGTATCATTAGTTTAATTTTTATTATTTATTTGTAATTTTAGAAATAGTTTTAGGTTTAAATGTATTTAAATCTAAGAATGAAATGACTTTTTAACTTTTATTTCTTTATTCATGTTGTAACATTTCAACATTTATATAATTTTTTAAAACGCATTTTTTATCTTAAATGATTTAAAAAGTCATTTAAAGACAAATCAATAAATATGAAAAACAAATGATAATCTATCTTGAAATAATGAAAAAACAGATATTGAATTTGCATGATTGTTGTACTTGTAATTGTGTCAAAATAATTGTGCTTATTTATTCATTTATATGATTAGAATCTACTATTGTTTTTATTTATATTACAGGCTTAGAAAATCATCAAGTCCGTCCCGTTGGTTAATAGGTTTACCACCTACATCTCCGAGATTGAAGTTCATTCACACACATCCTGGAGGAAGTCCAGTGCCACGAAGACCTCCACGATATCCCCCTTCTCCATCTACTAGATCTCGTTCATTAGAATTGTTAGATCCAGATGAGAAAAAATCAGTCTCGCCTGTTAAAGAATCAGAAGCACAAGTAAGACCAAGGTCTAGAAGCTTAGATGGCTTACTAGATGAAGATAGTGTAGTGTCAGACATGAAGACTGAAGAATCGTCTAAGTTATGTAACGAGAATAAAATTGATTCTAAAATATCTCTGGAGCCTTTAGACAAACTTTCTAGTATTAAAATAGAAGATAATCTTTCTCAAATTGTATCACAAAAAATACAAAATGAAGTAAAAGGATCAATCGTTAATTTTTATTCTAATGAATCTAATGATCAAAAAATAAATGAGAATCAGAGTCCAATACCAGTTCCTAGGCAACGATTGAAAACAGAAACGAAATCAGAATCAGTCACTGTTGTTCAACAAGAAGAAATTCAAAAATCAAGCTCTGAAGAAAATAGTATTAAAGAAGAACATCCACTAATGCAACCATCGAAACCATATCGATTTGTAAGTATGGATACTTCAAGTATGGAACATGAGAAAGAGGACTCTCAGACAAGCTCAGAAAACATTGATCCTTGTGATAATGCAGAATTAAAAAAACGATTGGTGGTAACGGGAAACGATAAATCTACACTTCTTAAAGCGAAGAGCTGTGGTGCGGGATTAGATTCTGACGAAAATATTTTATCAAACGAATATAAATCTAAGTCGCGAGAAGAAGGTTCATTACTTTCGCTTCCAACAGGAGCCGAGCCGAAACGAAAGAAAAACTTTATGGATAAATGCGTAAATAAAGTGCGGTCTTTCATGAAGAAATAACTTTCTTCAAATTATGGCAATATAAAGACTTGTTATTTAATTTTACAATTTGATTAATTATAGTAAATATGTCGATCGAGCTTGGTAAATCCAACTATACGACTTTACGCAACCAAATATGGTATATGTATATTCGCTTCAAATTGTTTTTCTATTCTGTATTAAATGTTTTCGAGATTTATAAATTGCCTCGAAAAGAATTTCTTTTCTTTTTTTTTTAATTTTATAATAATGTATCGTAATGAATGTATATATTTAAAATGTTTAAAAGGACAAAAGAAAAAGAATAATATAAAATTTTTCTAAAATCAATTTTCTATTAACTGTGAATATACATGATACTTAAAAAATGTACAGCAAATAAAAAAAATGATTATGAAATAAATTGCTAATAAAATTACGAATTATCGTAATCTCACTTCTGTACAATACAGGCAGCATAAAAATGTAATTAATGTGCCTAAAAAAAGCCTTCATAGAAATCCAAGATTGAGAGAATGAATAAATGAATGAATGAGTGAATGAAAATGAGAGTAAGAGAAAGAGATGCGAAAAAAGAGATGTACGAAATATTTTCGATGTAATACAAACATGAAAAAGTAACCTGTTTTTTCAGGTAACTTTTATATTTCCTTATCAAATTGTATTATACATATACATATACTATAAATGCGTACATAGATAGCATTGCTATTTGTAATACTATTTTTTAGTCTGTTTTTTTAGATTATCATAATATGTTTCACTTATGATATATGTCGTAAGTGATGGCAGCTAACCCGCACGAAATAACAAAAGAAATTTAAACGTAACAATTGGTTACGATATTATTTTATCGTTTTTACTGTATCACTTTTAACTAAAGTTATTTTACGTACGTACATAGAAAGTTCAAACAAAATCTATATGAAGTGAATTACGAAGCTTCGACGTATATTTTAAAGACCTGTCTAAAAATTGAAAAATGTATATTTTACCAAAGTTTCGTAAAGTGAAAGAATTTTATTAAAAGTTTGTTTCTTATAAAATAAATCTTATTGAACAAACTAATACAAGTTTAATTTATTTATACTTAAAAATTCCATTTTTACAAATATAAAATATTATTTAAAATATTACTCCTATTTCATAAAGAGCAAAAATTGCAATTTTTATATTTATATTATACATTAATTGTTTAATTTGTTACATTAAATTGTTAAAAATTTTTAATAATATTAATTATATATGAAATAAATGTTCATTTAATTATATATGATACAAATGGTGAATTTAAAAATAAAATTATTTTATCTATTTATAATATCATCCCTTCCTCTAAGTCGACGCAATAAAATTACATCTTGAATTTGAAGAGTTACACGTTTTGCATGTTGTGACAATAATGTGCAATCTTCAAAAAATTGAACAATATATGCTTCAACTGCTTCTTGCAGTGCTTCAAGTGCAGATGCTTGAATTCTAGATATGAATTGTAAAATTGAGTTGAAAGTTTAAAACACATTAATTTATATTTAAAAAAATATTTAAAATCTTACCTGTCTACGTCACTATTAGGAAATAAATCTATAATAATATATCTAACTAAACGAGCAAAAGGAGCTTTTGGTATAATCAACTTTACAGTTTTTCTTAAATATCGAATTTCTTTTAAAGCTCGCGTCGTCCGAAGTACACGTCTGTTTGCTGATATATTTGGCTAAAAAAAATATATTATAATATTTTATATATATAAATCTATTTATTAAAAATATTTAAATAGTTATATTAATTCTTAAAAATGCACTTACTCTAGACTTTACACTAGGTGATCTTTGTGGATCATCAATTGATCTAAAATAACAAAACAACATTTTTTACAAATGTCATATGAAAAAAAATATAATTAGTAATGCATTTAATTTACATAATTTTTGCATGCTTAAGTGACACAGTTATTCCCTAATTTTTGAAATTTACGTTAAATTTTTTTTTTAATTTCATTTCTATTTTATGTTTATTACTTTTAATTTGAATTCCATGGCGAATTCCAATTTCCAAAATATTTAATAAATAACTAACGTATTGCAAAATCCTGTATCAAGATAAGCATACATAATTGTAAATATTTCACATAACTATATAACAATATTTATATTAATGCTATAATAATATAATATTAAAGCATTGTTAAATTTTTGCTACAAAATTATCGATTTATAAATTGTTTTAATTCTTAGTCGTTAAATTCATAGTCATTAAGATCTCGAAAAAAAATGAATAAATAATTCCCTAGATAATTTGATTTTACAAAATTTTCAAAAAGAAAATCATTTCACAAATCGTTTTTTATTTCTTTAATCATGACTATAAAATGTTATATGATATTTGCAAATAATTAAATGTAAAAAATTTTCTCAGATATTTAAGAAATACTTCTATTTTATATAATTGTTCATTTTATTAGAAATAACCAATCAAATTCGAGGCGCGTACGATAGAAATATTACTTTTTAAAATAAATCTAAAATAATTATTGCAACATTTTCCTTGAAGTAATAATAATTTTTAAATTTATCAATAATTTTTAAACAATTCAATAATCTTTTAATCTTGTTAAATATATATATATTTATATATCTTCTAAAATTTAAATATTTAAAGGAAATAGTTTAAAAAGTTAATAATTTGTTTGAGAATTAAATTTATCGAATATCGAATATATAATTATAATCAATTTATATATCATTATATTATATTAATTTATTTAATATTAATCACATAAATTTACGTCAACTAACCTCGGATTACTTTTTCGACGAACCATTTTTGATATTTTTTATTTAAATTATAAAACATATGTTTAATCTTTTTTTATTTTTAATGATAGTTAATACTTATTTGAAACATGATATTAGATCATAAAAAACATAACAAAATTAAAAGCAATGTCAATTAATAGCGCCACAATGTAAAAAATTTGGCGGGAATTATATTACAGAAAACATTTAACGATCGTTGTCCTGTAGTATAAATCAATTTAATTATTTTCACTATTTTAACTCTCCATAGTAAAGATTCACTTAATATAATATTATATTTTTTGTAACCAACTCACATTATGTTTAATAATAATAAATAAAAAAAATTCTTATTCGCGTAAATAAACAAGTAGCAGCACAACTATTATCATCACGTGTTTTTCGATATCAGAGCCCTCTTATAATATAAATTATCAACTAATAATTTGACAAATTGTGTATTATAAATTTTTTTTTATAATTTTGTTAAATCATGAATAATTTGTAAAATTTACTTATTTAAAATATAAATTTATTAAAATTTCATTTATTTCATTATTAAACTTATTAGTGTTCAAGAGAATTTATTAGTATTATTATTAATAATTGGTAATTTTTAAAATTTTATTAATATTAGTTTAATTATACAACAATGCTATATTAATTGTTTATTTTTATGAAAATATATATGTGAATATTTTTTTTAAAAACTTTATTTTTATTTATTTACTTAATTAGATTTCTGAAATTTCAACTAGGATTCATTTTAATTTATTTTAATTCATATATAATTTATATATAATTTATTCTTAAAATATATATTTACATTTTTACATATAAAAAAATTAGTAATATTTCAGTATATTATTATCTATTTTCTTTAAATTTTGATAATATAATTCTATTTACACTCAATGAATAAAAGGTTAATTAATGAATCAGGAAGACTTAAATTTTTAAGTAAAAAAATGTTTAATAAATCTATTATCTATATTTATATAAATTATTTATATAAATCTATTATTTATATAAATTATTTATATAAATCTATTATTTATATACATTGTTATATACATTCTATATCTATATTATAAATTTATATACTTTATTAATACAGTTTTATTTCTTTAATTATAAAGTAAAATAATTAATAATAAATTTTACAATTTAATAAGTATTTTAAAAGTATTAACTTAATAAATTGCACTTTTTTATATATTTATCAATAACTCTTGTTTTATTTTTTTTTTCTATTAAATCTGTTGAATTTAACGTATCCAAAGATTCAATAGATGGTAAACTAACTGTTTTTGTAATTGAAGCATCTTCTTTTTTATTATTTTCTCCTTTTTTAGACCACATTTTGGACCATAGTAAAAAATGATTGTGTTTTTTATTATTCTTTGAATTATTATTTATACTGACAAATTCAAATTGGTTTGAATTTTCCTTTGTATCAAATGTTTGTTTTTTATTTTGTATTTGAAGTTTTTCTATTTCAACCTTTCTTTCTACATTACTTGTATTTTGTTTATCTTTATCATTTTCATTATTCACATTCAGATTACTGTCATTTTTTATGGGAGAAATATTTAGATTTTCTTTCATTTTATTTGATACTTGTATGGAATCTCTTAATTTTCCCCAGAAGTTATACGAAACCAATTTATTATAATCTAATATGACCATAAATTGTAATTGAGGTGGTAATTGACATCTTTCATATAAACATGGTATGATCTTTCTTTGTTGGTTTCCTAATTCAAACATTATAACAAAATTAAAATCATAAATTATTATTTAATGAATACATATTAAAACTTACCAATGCCCAATGCTTGAGCATAATTCAAAAAGAATTTATTTGCTGGACTTTTAAGAAAATTCGGTGATATAATAATAATTAGCCTATTACATCTTTCTGATATTAATTTCATTACTGCTTCATGTTCAAATATAATTCCACCAAGTAATTGATCTTTTAAACAAAGCTAAAAGATATATTTCATATATTTTTATATATAGTATAAAATAATTTTAAATTTTTACCTTCAAATTATATTCTTTCTCAAGTTTATCCACCATTTCATTAGCAAATTTAATGTCTTCATCAGCATATAATATAAATGCATCATAATTTTGTTCCGATAGTCCTTGCTCTTTCCTATAGAAATCATCTATTAAAAAAAAAAATATATATATATATATATGTAATAATTTTTAAATATTTTATTTATGTATTATCATATTTGACTTACCTACAGTAAGAATTTCTATCTCAATGTCATTTTCAATTTTTTCAGCTGATGTTTGAGACTTTTGTAATTGTTCTAAATATTTTTCACCATCTCTTACTACAATTTAATTAAATACAATATATTTAATTAATTAAATATGATAGAAGAGAAAAATTTATAATAAAATATATAACTTATATTATAATTACAAACCAAAAAGCTTTAATGTATCATCTAGGATATCCCATCTATCAATTTTTTCTAACAAATTTTGAAAATCTTTAATTGTAATATTTTTTTGTTTTTTTTTCCAATATGTTAAAATATATGCAGTTGGATCTGGATGTGATATAAGTAAGGGCATTAATTCTCCGCTTAATTCGCATAAATGAGCGAGACCTCTCCAATCTCTAAAAATTTAAAAATGGAAAAAGTTATTGATTACTTAAAAACTTAATAGAGATAAAATTTTTAAAAAAATTTATATTAATCAAATATTAATTACCTTGGTAAATTATTTTCGCAAGGAATAATTTTTGGCGAATTTAATAATGATGAAACAACTTGTATAGATTCAATAGATAAAGCAACAAGTGGTATTGTTGATAAATCAATTGTCATTTTTATTTAATCTCAAAATGTTTATATTAATATTAATTATTTTAATTATCAAACAAATTGATTTGTTTTAATAATAAGAGATTTTCATATTGATGTTAAAGAATAAATTAAATTTTTTAACAGAATTTATATAATGGTATATCACTTATATCATATGAAGACATTCTGACATGATAATTGTCAAATATTCAAATATTAATTTTAAATTGTTCACTATTACTTCTTATATTATACTTTAATTTTTTTTTAATTATTATTAACATTAATTTTACTTTAAAAATATTCTTCATTTATTTACTTCGACACAATTTCTAAGAATTCTTGAAATGTTATATTTCGATGATCAATCAATGGTTTGATTCAGAGTTGCCACAACATTATGTTATTTTCTATTAAATGCAACTAAATTTTCCTGCGGCAAATTTAAAGTTTTATGTTCAAATAAGAGAATTCAAGAGGAGCAGCATTATTTTTGTTTATTATTTATGTTTATGTTTCTAAAAAAAAACATTTTTTAAAGAGATATCTTTGACTCAAAAAATGATGCTAATAATCAATATTTATTTCTATCTTTTTCTGCTATTTGCTATTTTTGCTCATTTTCATTTGCGATATTCCAGAAATGATATCCTATTTTTATCTTTCTTATTCTATTTATTCTTACCTGTATTCCTATTTGTCTATTTACGTCCAAATTTATGCTCAAGAAATAATTCAAATATTTGATTAATTTTATTATTTTTTTTTTTGCCTATCCTATATGCGCATTTACATTATTTTTTTCATATTATGAAATATGTTAATTATTTTATAACAAAAATAACAATTGAAAGTTGTCAAGTAAAAATATATAAAAAGGAATATTTGCGATTCCTATATGATTTTAATGAAATGTTTTTATTTTTATAAAATCATTTTAAATTTTCATAAAATCATTTGTTTTCTTATCTATATTGACATTCATAATTATATGATAGCAATATGTATACATGTATACATAAATTCAGTTTTAATTCAGTTTTAATTCAGTTTTAATAAAAAAGTTCACAAATTGATATTATTTTGACTATGTTATAGTAAAAAATATAATTTATTGTAATATTAAAAAATGTAATTTTTAATTTATGAATAATTTAAGTCATACAGGAATCCATTTCGTAACTAAAAAATCTATAGTGAGTACAATGAATACTACACAAGATGTATTAAAGAAATTATTTTTATTTTTTTAAATTTGTTAATTTTACTAAATTTTGTGATGAATTGAATATAATGGATTAAATATAATTTCTATATTCACTATTCTAAATCCTAGAGCATACTGATAAACAATCTGATTTTTTGTATTACTAGTATTTCAGAACATGAAATAAAATTTTATAAGTTAGTAAATCTATTCTGTAATTTATTTGTGGTTATATTGAAATATGGAGAAAAATTGACAGAGAATTCTAAATTAATTCATAAGTAGACCGTGACGGCGCTTCTGGCGCCACTAATTGTCATTTTTCCGTTGATCACTGTGTGAATTTGTGCGAATATTTTATAGTGCTTCTTCATAAATATAGTGATATTGTAAAATATGTTAATTAATTGTACGTGAATTCATCATATCACAATTAAATAAGGTACGATGATTGTATTTTTAATGATTAACATTGATTCCGAAGAGGTTAACTTTCCACTTGATATTTTTTTAATATTTTAATATTTTTTTCAAGCAAAATTTATGTTTTAATATATTTTATTTTTTAATAAAAATATAATAATTATATTCATATGTC